GGGCTGTTGCTTTTTACATAAGATTATTCGTTTCTATGTACAATCTGAAGATACTCATGGCAGAACTTCCTTACTACTGAACTGTTAAAATCAGTGATTGATTTTGAATTATCTATATCATTTTATAGATTTTTCAAAAACTTAGAAATGATTCTCTTCAAAATCGAACTCATTTTTTGATTGACTTTAACAGATGATCAAAAAATTTTCTGACAAAATTGAAATACATATTTCTTTTGTTCTTCTCTCATGGTTTGTTTCTTTTTTTTTTTCTTACGCAAAATACACACACTATGGATCCATAAAAATTACATAATCAAAATATTGAAAATAATTCTTTATCTGTTCGTTTTCGTAAATTTATTCGAAGGTTCTATTTTTGCGTCTGGACAATATTAATATTAGTTATATTTTAGTTTCTCATAAGTTCAATGTTTTTATTGATAAAATGCATGACAATCATTGAGTGATACAAATAAAGTTACAATTGAAAAAATCTACTTATGAGAAACTAAAATATAACTAACATTAATATTGTCCAAACGCAGAAATAGAACCTTTGAGCAAACTAAGGAAAATGGACAGATAAAGAACCTTTTTCAATACTTTGATTATGTAATTTTATAGGTCCATAATGTGTATATTTCGTGTAAAATGAACCAGAAATAAAACATGAGCAAAAACAAGAGATATATGAATTTCAATTTTGTCTGAAAAATTTTTGATATAACCATGAGGGTAAATAGTACTGAATTTTTCAACGAAAATAATAGTTGTGACACATATAGATTGACTCTGTTTTTTTATGTTGATTTCAAATATATATCATTTGTTTTAATAGAAACTTGATTATTCTGAAAAAGATTCGTCAAAAATGGCAACTTTTGATGTTGATGATTATTGTGCATTTGACTAATGTTTCTTGGTCACAAAGCAAGCTCAGCATAAAAGTATCATTTTGTAGAGTTTGGAAAAGTCTATCGAATGATACATAATTCGAAGTGAATTGCTACTTTTACAGCTCAATAATGAGAATCTTTTGCTATGAGTATTCTCAAAATTGTACCAAACAAACAAAGAATTTCATCTAAAAAATAAAAGAACAAGTTTTGATTATATTCCTATATGTTATTCGATAGAAGCAAGAAAGAATTTTCATTTGAAATAATAAGTCAAATTAAATAAGACAAACTTTCCATATAAATTCTGCCCTTCAAAACACTACAGGAGATCGATAAATATCAAGTTTTGAGTCAATTGCACACAGCGAAAATGACGTCGAACGATATAATTCGAACGAGAGTCAACTTCTGACATCTTAATTGACTACTCGAGAAAAAAAAATAAACGTAATCTTGACAGGAAACTGATTTAATTACTTAACGACCTTTCTTGTTCGACTAGGTAATTATGATTTTGTTGATTTTTATCATCACTATTATCGATGCAATTTACATTTTATGTTGATAAAAATAATTTTTAATTATTTACCTTTTTTGTTTTTCTGAAAACAAAAACCGACGTAATATTGTTAATTATATAACTAAAAATAAAGTCTTAAAAATTGAAATTATTGTTCGGACTTCTTATATACATAAAACTATATAATAATCTTAATAAGATAATAAAAAGAAAAGTACGAGGAATTCTTAGAGTAAATATAGGAATGTTCATTTGTTGAACTTTTTTCTGCAACGAAATAGATTTCGTAACAGATGAGCAATCGTCCTTCGTCTAAATCTGCTATTGGTATAAAATTTTCACCAACATATCATTTCAAGAAATATTTCTCTTCGTTAAATTTCTTATTTCAAAATTTTATTTTTCGTAAAACAAAACGAAAAACGTACCAAATAAAAACAATTTGAAAATAAATGATATTGTTTTACATGGCAAAGAACTATAATACAATGATATGATCAAAGATGTGCCAAGGTCGAGTGGAAGCAGAGAGTGGCAATGACTCAGGACACTGATTGATAAAAATGCTTGAATATCTCGTTGGAGAAAATTTCTCAAGATTGAGGAGTAGGTGAACCTTGCACTTATGGACATGGCAATGTTTTGCTTAGCTGTAGGCTCTATTTTATATGTTTATAAATATTTTCTGATATCAAAAATATTAAATACAGAATAACTACAGATTATGTATTGATATCGATTAAATTGTAGTATAACAATGTTTATCAAAGCAATTGATAGTGAGGATATATTTTGTTCATTTTAATAATTTTCCTTTTTTTTTTTGAATTTTTCTGCTATATTGATTATCAATTATACACATCACATCATTTCATCTAAATTCCATTCATCATCAATTTTCTATTCAAAATCAATGTCAATATGTAATAGACATTATGCTTAAGGGTATTCTTAATTCTTCTAAAATAGCTTTCATTTTCTTTTTGTTTATATATACGTACATTGACCATGAAATGGCAGCATCGTCGTTTATTATTAATTGAATATTATTTGCTTGTCATTGTTCTTCTACCTTTTTCTTTTCATTTGATTGATAGTTAGTGTTTTTAAGATTTATCAGTATGTCATATATAGTTATCTTTAATCGATTGCAAATATCATTTATTATTTTATTAATAATTGATGTAACATAAAAGAGAGTGGTCTCTTCTATATCCATATGTATTTAGTTTATATTTGTTTGTCAGAAACAAAACATGGTTTAGATATTGTTTATATTCTTTATCATCTTGGCAAGTTATTACTTTCTTATTTATGTCCAAATGTCATATTTAACTGATTCATTACTATGCACAACAATTATTACCACCTGCCTTAGTACTTATCTTAAAGATTTACAAGAGCATCCTAGAAGACACATGTCAATATATTTGCTTATTATACTTTTTTTTTTCTTTTATGCATTTGCAAAGACAGTTTTCATTATATTCATTGTCAATTATTTCTTGTTATGAATATTCTAATCAATATAATATATTATTTTATGTCCTATATCTCTGTTAGACAGACGCTACTCACATTCCATCTATGGAGATAATATTTTGATCTTATAATACTATTCTTCGAAATAAACTCTCATTCATCATTTATTCTTGTTGTCTCTAATTCCACTACTCACGTCCGTATTATCATCCAAAGAACTAAGAACAAGAAGAAAAAAAAACGGAGAAAAAAGAAAGAAGCAGAAAGAAAAACCACAGAGTAAGAGATTCGATTAGAAACTCGCCAATTTTTTTTTTCTTTTTTTTCTTCTCTTGTTGAGCAGCTAGTCACGTTTACTCCTTACATTTTTCATTTTCTAGTCATCAAATAATCACACATGCTTTTGGTATTATTCATGACATTTTCTAAATGAAAAAAAAAAAGGTAAACATAAGAGAAAAAAAAAACATTTTTTTAAATTGTACTAGACTTGAGAGATGCTATATGAGTTCGTGCAACAACTATAATGTTTGCTGTTCATCTCTTTAAATGTCGAAATTCTTTATAATAAAAATCTAGAAAATAAAAAAAAAAAGAAGTTTGATATACCTCTATTTATGTTATAATCGAATTGAGTAAACGATAGAAAATTGTATTTATTTATTTTTTCTTTAGCTGATAAGATGGTATTATTGAGTTTATTATCTGTTCTCTTCTTGTTGTTTTGTATTCTGTTAACTATATTTATACTTTCATCATACATAGGAATATATAATAAGTCAGATCGTACAAATCTATTTATTAAACTATGGCCTATTGTTCTATTATCTGTTCGTATCATTATTATAATATATTAAATAATAATAAAGAGAATCTTAATTCATGCGATGAAAATAATTGTGTGTGTTGATAGATGAATATGCATTGTTTCTCTGATATTTATATGATAGATTCTCATTGGTATATCATCTGTATTTGGACAGGCAGATAGAAAACGACATTTATTTTGGCTGCTGTTAATAAAGACTGCAAATAAAGAGACGTATTGTGTCCTTCACGTACTTCTTCGATTATATGTGCTGTGATAGATATCCTTGAAGATCACAAAATTATGTATAGAAAGAATACGATGAGATATGTATCTATAGTGTATATATATATATATATATATATATTTATTCGATTGCAAAAATTTATCCACCAGAAGGTCATTGACAAAAACAACGCCAATTTTGACAGAGTTTGTATATTTATAAACAATATTAAATAAATATGTGTGTCACAACAACTATAATAAGAACGGAATAGTGGGGCAGAAAAAAAACAGATGAATCTAGAAAAATAAGCAATTAAGACGGAAAAAAACGAAAGAATACAATCGCGCTTCTCATTTTCCTCCATTTATTGTTATTAATCGACACTGTATGACACACTTGTTTGCAAGGTGAACCATGATGCATATTTGATTGGACATATATTAAAGATATATTACTCACACCTGATTTCAAATCATTAAGGCTTATTACGATTTCAATTTATCTGTTGTGATACACTTGCATGATCAATCGAACAGGACTAATTCTTATATATTGTTGTTTATAACGAAATAAAAGTGAGTGAAGTAGAATTGTATATTGAAGTTTGTCAACAACATATCATATTACATTATTTCTAATGAATGCTTCTATGTATCTCGAATAAAATGAGTATATTAGCTGAAGATTAGATTGATCAGTACAAACAAAACTGAGCTGTGAAAGAACGAAAAAATAAAAAAAAAAAGAAAAAGAAAAAAAAGAACACTTGAGAGAGACAGAGACAGAGACAGAGACAGAGAGAGAGAGAGAGAGAGGGAGAGAAAGACAAGCACGAATGAAGGTCATCATATAAGAAAGAGAAAACGATGCATGTGCAGGCGTGTAAAATAATTTTGCATAAAAAAAACAACTTATTCATTGATTAACTTTATTTCCTTTTCTTTTCTTTTTTTACCATTATTTTATGATCATGTTTTTCTAGGTGAAATGTTCACTTAATGTTTAACATAGAAGTTGTATTATATCAAACATCGTCTATCCCATATATATTTTATAAATATGTTTATTAAATATCCTACATGGAGAATTCCTATAGTATTGCTTTTTTTAATAAACATTATTCTTACCACTGGTAATTATCGAGAAAACCTTGCATTACGTCATCCATGCAATAAAATCAATAAACGTCTCACACCATATATTACATGGACAGAAAAACTTGCCAGTAGTCAATACAAAGGTAAGCTATTCATTTATTCTTAACGTGTTACTTTTCACGTATCAATATTTCCATTTCTAATAAAAACTAACGGAGTACATTCTATATATATTACTGTGTACATAATAAATATAAAAAAAAAATCATCTTCATGTGATAATAGATTTTTCAATATGAAATCTCTAAAGACTATGTTCACCCATTAATCAGCAAAGCAAAAATTATTGAGATAAAGCATATTAACATTTTTTTGCAAAAGACAAAAAGAAAAAGTTATCTTTTACAATTTTTATATAATACATATTCAGAAAAATAAGGATTCAATTATCATGTTTAATCTCTCGCTTGTAAAAGCTAAATATTTTCTGTGAGAAAGAGTTCATATTAATCAATTTTGTATGACTTCTCTTAAAAAAGAACAAAAAAAGATTCTAGAGAACAGTTTCAAAGCTTTCTTTTTTTTTTTGTCGAACATAAAAAAGTATATCGAAATATTTTTTTCTTTAATTAAAAAAACAAGAAATCTTTGTATTAAATTATAGTTCATAAAGATGCTTGTGGTCAGATTGGTATCGGACCAGCATGTTGTACACATGATATTATGAATTCTTATGCAACATCACTTGGTACTAAATCAAAAAATATACTCGATGCGGAATTAAATAATTTAACAATGTTCCTTTCAATATCAAAACAACAAATTGATAGTAAGTGAATATTATCATTGATTGATAATATACTTAATACAATAGTGGGCACAGTTTTTTGTTTTGTTTTAAATGAATTTTTTTTTATTCGAACTTATTTTTAAGAGACAATTTACCTTGAAAATATAGTCATTTTTTCACCGATAGATTTCCCGACGGATATTAAGTGACAAATTGAAAATCAAATGATTTACGTAGAATAACATATACTTTAGCCTATGGGTTACTTAATGGCATAAAAAGTTTTTGTTGCTATTAGTCGACAAAAACAAAGAGAAGAATTCGTTGATAAACACTGCTATTAAGGGATTACGAGACTGTTGTTACTGTGATTAGGAAATAAAATATGACAGCATCCTTGAGAAAATTATAGATAATCTATAATTGCGTTTTTTTATTCTATTGATTCGGAAAGAAAACTTCCGCTTTTATCTATCTGAAATTTGACAAAAATTATTCGTCTTTAACATCGAATACTTTTACTCAATAAAATGAGCTTTGACAATTTTCTACAATTTCAAATTAGGCGAAATTATCATAGAATGCTCGTCCACCCATAAAATTTCTATAACATTAGCGAAAATGTTTCACGGCTGAACTTTAGTTTTCTTTTAAATAAACCTTTAATCTTCAAAGTTAAATTCATTTTTTGAAATCAGCATCGAATGATATAGAACTTATTAGTTTTCTTATAAAAAAAAAAAAAAAAATTTTCTACTTATATATAGAATATGGATGCTTCATAATGTTTTTTTTCTGATTATATTGACATTTGAGAGATGATTAAGAAAGTTGGGCGAGTTATTTACAGAGTTCTAAGGAAATGCCTCGATCTAATCTTAGTAGTATTCAATCTAGACTAATTTGTGCTACAAAATGATTATATAGCAATAAACTAGATTAACTTCATAGATTCGATCATGCTTGTCAAAAACAATGATTCGAACTTCGAATAAAACTCAAGTCAGTTATTTGTAAAATTATATGATTGAGTTTATGAAGCTAATATAATTTATTACTATAAGTCATTTTATAACATAGATTAAATGTCACTAAAAATAGGTCAAAATATTTTAGCTACTTTAAAAAAAAAACTCATTCAGCTCTGATGATAAAACTATATTGATCACAAAATAAAATGTTTTGAAGTTAAGATAATGACACATATTTGCCTGATCTATAAAAGAAAATGAACCTCGGATAATCAATTTTCACCGGACGAAATCTTCTCGACGATATTTTAAACTTAGCTCTTTGTTTTTTAGAGTTGTTTCAAAAAACCCTAAATCTACAGGGTCGGAAATAGTATTATTTCAGGAAAGTAATGCTATAGTTTCAAACAGTATCAACAGGCAATTTCATACCAAATTAAAGCGTATCAAAAATGTTGTGTATCAATACTAAATAGTAAGGGTTATGGTAACTTTTCAGAGTCGAGTTCAGGAAATTTCTGAATTTTTCGGCATGTCGACATATAAAAATTCTTTTTCTTGAAGTAGTTCAAACTACATCTCATTGAAAATGTTGAAGGTCACAAAGTATTATTTATTTTTTTAAGCTTTGGTAACTATAAACAGTAATCAGTAATGGCGGCCATGAGCATTCTTTACAGCACTGAGATAAAACGCATACGAACATTAAAAAGTATCTCATAATTCAATGGTTTCTTTTTTTTACAGTTTCTTCGTGATAACGAGTATGTTTCATCTTTGATGGCATTTTTTTTTAATTCTATTTTTGATTATTTATCTTCATGCTTTTAGACAAGGTGTCGATTGTTTTGTAATAATCATCATTTTAAATGAGATTAGTTTAAACTGCTTCAAGAGAAGAATTTTTATGTCGACATGCCGTAAAATTCAAGAATTCCCTGAATTCGACTCTGAAAAATTGCCATAACCCTTTCTATTTAGTATAGATAAACAACATTTTCGACGCGCTTTAATTTTGTATGAAATTTGTTGTTGATGCTTATTTGAAACACTAGCATTATCCCCATCTCCATCTCCTGGAATAATGTTATTTACAATCCTGTACATAAATATAACGAAAAGAACATGAACTACATATTGGGAACTAAAACTTTTTAAAAGAATTTTGTCTGTAATGTAATGTATCGATTTTACGACAAACAATGCCTAATGTTCATGTAAACTATTATTTTTCTTCACAAATATCACATTAGAATGAGTCTTGCACACAACGTCACTCTCGTAAAAATCGAAAAACATCTTTTGTAAAACTTCAAACTATCAGCTACCTTATGCAATGCTTAAAACTCTTTCGAATTTGATATTTGAAAAGAAAAATAATAAAGAGTTTACATATGCATTGTATGTTGTTTATTGAGCAACGGACAAATTACATTATAGACAATTTACTTTTAATGTAGTTTTACTTACCGAAATGTATCTCGTGTTTTCTACTTTTCATTTATATTAATTCAGATTTTTTTTTAGAACAAATTCTAGAAAAGATCGTCTAAAAATTCTGTCGAATACTATATATTTATATTTTTATCTATAGCTTGGTCAAAAGAATACATCACAGAATCGCGTCGTTTAACAATATCTTCACTTGAAACATTATTTGGTATAAAAGAATATCGTTTAAATATTGATCAATCAGTATCAATTTTATTCGATACCCTAAGTAATAGTCATTCATCAGTTGATGCTGTATCAAAATCAACTATAGATTTATTTAATCGTCTAATTATTTCATTATATCGACGATTTATAATAAATGATGATAAAATATTACTTGATGATGAATTTCAAAAATGTCTTGTAAATAAAGCATTTGATATGGAAGCATTACCTAAACAACGTGAAATACTTTATATATTAACAAGTGCTTCATCATTAATTCAAATATTTTATACAATGCTTGTTTATATTGATGCAGATATTCAACGATTAAAAACAACAGCAACAATGAATTCAAAAGAATGTATACAACGCTATGCAAGAGAAGCATTATGTCCTATATGTCTTGGTACATCATCCTCATTTAATCAAATCAATAATAATAATAATAATAATGATGTTAGCGAAGTTTTATGTAAAAATGATTGTCGCTATATAATTAAAACATGTGTCAATCAAACAAATGACCCCTATATGGAATTTGCTTTAATTGCTAAAAATTATTCTGACATTATAAAACAAATTGAACAAGCTACTATTGAACTCAAGGTGAGCATATATAATGAATACTGAAAGAAGAGAATAAAAAACATATATATATATATGAGGCTGGTCAACCTGGCCGGAGGCCCCATTAATATTTCTTTGTATTGTAAGGATAAAACATATTATTGTTCGGGTCATATAAGAGAGGATCCTAGATAACCTTGGATTTGCCCGAACAACATCATGTTTTATCCGTACAATAGTAGAGAAAAGTTACCAGCTCACACAATAAGCTGGTAGCTTTTCTCTACTATTGTACGGATAAAAAATGATGTTGTTCGGGCCAATNAAGATGTTGTTGTTCGGGCCAATCTAAGGTTATCTAGGATCCTCTCTTATATGACCCGAACAATAATATGTTTTATCCTTACAATACAAAGAAATATTAATGGGGCCTCCGGCCAGGTTGACCAGCCCCATATATATATAATTTTATATTCTTTTATTTTCAGCTTGTTGAACATCTTGCGAAATTACACATTTACTTATATGATATGGTTGTTAATGTTACTAATAGTCGACACATATATATAGAACTGCAAACTGCTTGTCCGAATCAAAATATAAAACCTTTTAGTCCTATTCTTTCGTTGCCACCAACAATAACTGAACGACGTGAACTTGTATTTCAATGGAATAGATCATTACATTTTTTGCTCAATCGAATTCAAACATCTATAGATGATCTTGCTACAAAATTTACAAAAAAGCTAATCGCAGGTATTTGTTCCAATTCAAAATATGCTATCAAGTCAGATCGATGTACACGAATCGATAAACAAAATATAAAGTAAGTAAATTGATATGACATCGTTTTACTTGTCATGTGAAATGATAATCATATGGCCTAGCACAAGCAGAACAGTAAACAATATGAATATATGTGTATATTTTTATACATCATATACAGTCGATATCATACCATATTAATGTTTATAATACATAGAACTAAAGTCATATTTTATTCATGTTTTTCTTTTCGAAGTGTGTAGAAGCGAATCGATTTTTTTTTCATAGCAGTGATCGCATAGTTTTTGATGTAATAATTACAAACTTCGAGAAGACGAATCTAAATCCAGGAAGGGTGCTACTCATTTAGTTTTCATATTGAATACAACAGTGAACTGAAGAATTGTGAATCAATATATGAAAGCAAGTTAGTCTATCAACATTCTTTTCAATTTATTAAGAACAATATTGTAAATCGGCATGTTTTACGTTCAAATTCTTATTTCATTTCTTGTATCTCTCTCGTGAAAATAAGGTTGCTAACAATATCTCAATGAACTCATAAATTTTATTTGATATATTCTGTAGATTCAGGTCAATGATTCTGATGGCAGTCTGTCAAAAAGATGCCGTTTTCAACCGGAAAATTCCCAAAGTTAGTAGAAATTTGCAAGTAGGAGTTTGATAGCTAGATTTTTTTCAATGCCGCTTGAAATCAGTCGTCATCGGATAGAGCTGATTCCACGATTTGTGACTGTACTTCATTTATCTTGAGAGTTTTCTAAATTTTATCGAATTCTAATAAAGTATTTATTTATAGTTAATATAAATGTTAAAATTATTTTCTAATTCATTCATGATACAAACTTGCACATATTCGATATTTCAAAGTCCAAACTTATCTATAACAGTCGTACACGCGATTCCTTTCTAAACATTTACCCTGAAGCCTAATTCATGTTAATGTATTTTCGCATGCATCGATAACAATCATCATACTTATGTCGCTTGAAATAGTCGTAATAAGAATAGCATCGAGTTTACATCGTAAACAATATAAGATCACATTGATTGTATAAAAGATCTATGAATTACAAACTTATACAGAAACAATTCCTAAGTCATTTTATAAAAAAAATAAGATTTCTCTTTGCATACAAATCGATAGAATTTTGACACAATTTTTATTTCTATACATAGCAGTAGAATACAATGGCCACTTCCATCCATCTCAGAGCTTACATTAAATACAAATAACGCAGAACAAATACGTAATCAACTTGATGAACTGAAAAAAAAGATGGTACCAATACGACAAATAATTAAATCTCTTCAACCGAAAAAAAAATATTCATTAATACAATATATACCTGATTTTGAATCATATAATGATGATATTAGTATTATTGATTATGATACAGAATTCTCAGCTTCTTTCGAAATTTATGATACTGATCATCAAGGATCACTTAGTGAACGACTTTACAATGAAATTGATGGATACACAACACGTATATATTTTTGTTTTTTTGATATTATTTTCAATAAAATATATTTATTTATTTTATATAGGTCGATTAATTGTTACTACTAGTAAACATACTGAAGGAAAAATTAATAACAATGGTGAATTGATAACATATAGTTTATTATTATATCTAATAATTGTCATTATTCATCAAGTTTGACTTGTTTAGTCAACGAACAAGATGTAAAATGAAAAAACTTGTGAAATATTATTTTTCATTTTTTTTTTTTGTATAGTGATATGTTGACATTATCCATCCAATATTCTGTGTTTATTATTGTCTTATTATTTTGTTTTTAAAGTATCCGGTGTTATGTCGTTTTTCTATAGTAGTATAGATATTTTTTAATATATATCATTTGTGACTTAGTTAATCATTAAATTATAAATAATTCTCAATTTTAATGTTCTAACAAAAATTTATCTCATGATATTATTTATTCCAATAATAATAATAAAAGATTTATCACTTTTTAGAAATCTAAAATTTACGTTTTTTCTTTTTTTTTTTGATCGATAATTTTTTTTCCAGTTGTTTTCTGTGACATCATCAAATTATAAACATTTTTTTTTTCTTATATCGATCTAAATTAAATGCATCAGGACTTTTCCGGCGTTTACCGGATATTCATATTATTTATTCGGAATGCATTATAACTGTAACGTTTTTCCTGTTCTATAGCATAAGAAGAAAGGAAAAAGATGAATTTGCGATACTTTAGATTACTACTTTTGGGAACATCGGATGTATAATCCGCTTTGAAATAAAATACATCATATTAATTGACAGAATGAAGGTTTTCAAAGAAAAGAAATACCAAAGACGTCTTATGTAGCATTTATAGCTCTTCAACATCAGGTTATAAAAACATAGTTTTTATTCGATCTTCGCTTAGAGCTATTTGCATGTCACTAAAGAATAGAATTTTTCATGAAAAATAAGATTAAGATAAATACACATTTCATATGATCATATTTAGTGATTTAGCAAATGTACCAATAGCAAAAAAAAAAAAAACTAAAATAATTTCTTTCATTTGTTATGTGTTAATGATACGTAAATTATTTTGTTTTGATTTTTCTTTTTTTCGAAGTTTTCTATAGAAGATAAACGATTTATTAGTATCGACATCACTTTGACAAGATTCAATTAACTATTGAAGATTAATAAATCTCTGATTAGTTAAACAGTAAAAAGAAAATGTGTTTTAGATTGGTTAACAACACAACACTTCATCATATAAAGCACATTTATTACATCCCCTTAGGATACAATATATCGGGTCGATATGACTGACATCGATTCTTCTAGTCACGAGTAATTATCTTTTGTTCAAAGCATTTTTCTCAAAGAATATATTACGAAAAACAAAAATATTTGCTACATATTATCAAATAAAACTGTTCATACGGAAAAAAAGTTGACAATAATGAATTTTTGACCCAAATTAATTGCTATAGATCTTAAAGGATAATATACGGCTAATTAATATAGAAATACGATATGTAAAAACGCTATAATCGCAAGTTATTATTTATTTATATTTATTCGGATATAGGTCATATCGACCTTATTGTACCAGCAAATAGCTTGTCACAGCTGCGAACAAAGAAAAAATCATTATTTTTTAGATATAAACTCAACACATTAAGAAGTAATACATAAAAGATTTGTTCTTTAAGAAAAGTAATTGAATAGACATATAAATGGAATATGATTTATTCAACATTTCGTTTGTTTGTTCTATTTTTTCAATTCTTGAAATATTTGAACATTATGGTGATTTTACTCGTAACCGTTTAACAGTATCTACATGACATGATTTACGTTTTGATGATGGCTTCTTTAGAGTAATCATTGTTTGTTGACACGGTAAAAACTTATCTCTATTATCATTTTGTATATAAGTTGGTAGATATGTATTTGTTGTTGAAGATATTTTGATAAATGAATGAAGTAAATCACATAAATGTTTACGTGATTGTAAAAATGTCGTACGAATTAATGACGTATGATGTAGCGATTCATAATAACGTGGTGATTGTAATTTTTCTGTAGATATTTGCATAATACGTATACAATAATATAAATCATCCATTTGATTTTTTTTTCTAATCTAAAAAAAGAATATTTTCCTAATTCATGTCAAGATACTACGTGTAAGATATTTTTCTTTTTATAGATATGAATGAATAAAAAAAAAAAAGGAATCGTGTGCTTTGGCACACATATATAACAAAAAAAAAGCATCGTCTGCCGATAGTAATAGTAGATATACGTCATTATTCTTCTTTTCATTCGGTTTTCCGAAAAGATTTTGTAATAGAAATAGGAAGCAAAAGAAAGCCTTTCCTCTTTTTTTCTGTTCTCAGTTTTTTTTTCTCTTTTTCTTTCTTTTCTACATCGATAAATTCTGAATCGGGTTATATCAATAATTATAGAAGAAAAACAATTCTTTTTCGTTTGAAAGAAAAAAAAAAAGAAATATTCAGTCAATATTAAATATATATATATATACATTTTGCTTTGACATGTTTTTAAAATTAATAATACATGAGAATAGTATATTTTCTTCCTTTTAGTTAAAATCAAAATTAAAATTATTTTTTTTAACAAGAAAAACATTACAAAAAGAAAAGAGAACTCAAATAATTACATTCATTCCAATTTTTTAGATGTTGTCTTGTTCAGTATGACATAGTAAACAAAAGACTTACTTTCTAATATCCTAGTTTGTTGTTAATAATATCTAAAATTAAATATATCTTCCGGCTATTTCCGTTTATTTATCGTTGATATCCTGTTTTGAAGTTACAATCATTATCAGCTATACCTAGATTCAATGATTATTTGAAAATCTCAATGTTTTCTCTTTTCTTTTTTTTTTTTCTTATCAAAATATTTGGAACAAACAAAAATATAAATAAATCTATCAAAATGAGTACTTGCAATGTTTTCTCTTCTTTATTATTACACTTGTGAATAAATATATGTTTTCTGTTTGTCTCGATTTCTGATTCAAATGAATTAGTAGACATTGACAATAATAACAAAAAGAACACGAGAGAATGAGAGAGAAAGAAGATAAATTCATTTTATAGTCAGCATATGTATGCGTGCATGCACCCTCATTGATTATGCACATATCGTCTTTGTCTGCACAATCAACTACTTTTCATCTTTCTTCCTACTTGTATTATGTTTTTTGTGTGCTTCCTAAAAAATTATAACATGCAAACTCAATAAAGAAAAAAAAAATGTCTTTTATTTCTCACCAACAATAAAACTGATATTCTAATGAGATTCGCAAAAGAGACAAATAGTTTGCTTTTCATTAATAATGAACAATAAATCAAAAAAGAAAAGAAAAGAAAGAACCATTTATTCATCTGTAAAACATCAGAGTACTTATCTGACAAAGCTCAATATCGATAATGATGAAGCATGAGACATCTGACAACATATGCATGAGATAAGTATGAAAAAAAAAATTAGAATGAATGAATATTTCAATTTACTTGGTAAATGTCATCATTCAATATTGTCACTCCATAGGGGGAAGGAAAAAAAGAGAAGAAGAAGAAGAAGAAGACATCAAAACAATGACGACGTTCATTGCATTTGGATTATTAAGAGTATGCGCCTATGTTCGTTGTTTGACAATATTAGTAAGTTTATACTACAGATTATATGAATCAATCAATATAGATTCATATCAAATATGTATACATGTATATATTAAACAAAATTTTATATGTTTTATTTTTAAAGACATTATTCAGCTTCATTTATTCTGTCAATTAGAATTTTGTATTGATGTATTAGAAAGAAAAAGAAAAAAGGATTTCTTTTTCTTTTTCTTTCAAAATATCTTTTATCAATTAGGAACTTTTCTTGGCTAATTATAATATAATTAACTTGTCAAATGCATAAGTTTTTGCTGATAACACGATTATTTTGCATTAGTATGAATATTTAACTAATCATCTGAATACATTTACAGAATCAGAATATTTACTAAAATAAAACAGCAATAGAACGAAAAAGCAAATCGTTTTTTTTTTCTCAATCTGGTTACTTTCAAACATAGTGATCCAGGTAAATTAATAAAAATTAATCATATATGAATTTGATATGTTATTTGACTTTGCACAGCATTGTTGTGTTTGTCAGTATGGTTCTAATGGATAATTAACAAAACAAAGCATAGACTATTGTATGTTGCATTTTCTTTTGATAGAAACTCAAAGAAATTTTACTTCTCGCAGTAGTAAAAGTTCTTTTATCAAGATAAAATGTTCAAATTTTTGAATTTCAATATTTCAAAATTAATCTTGATCGTTGAAGTTTATGTCTGTATATGAATCATTTGAAATAGCATGGAACATATTCATCCTTCATTTGAGTTTGATTGTTTACAAGATTGATTTTTGTGAATAAATTTTTCTTGGCATAGACATATGTAAAAATGTTGACTCTTTCAGCTAATTATTAATTAAAAAGTAATTAGTGAATATTTCTCTAAACATATGAGGAAAAAGAAATCAGAAATCTTCACGATAGACTACGGCATAAATCGCTTCTATGATGAAATTTTTAGTAAGATCAGATTGCAAAAATCTTTCTCTTAAAAACCGATTTTATAGAGATCTTAAACAAAATTTTTGTGTTACTATTATATAGAGATGCTAACAAAGGATGTATATCGTTTGGAATTAATTTTTAAAATTTTCATTAGATTATAAAAGCTTTTTTCTCTTTTCGTTCCTTTTTTTGAAAAACATTTAAGCATGTTCAGAAAAAACTTTTGATAGATATTTTGTAGCCTCAGGAATTGTCTACAGACTGTAGTATTTAGTTTTCATAATTTGCTTCCTCAATCCACAGTTTTTTTCTTTTTTGAACTAAAATTCTTCAAGTAAAAGTCGATTTCCTTTTTTATGTCACGTCACTAACGTTATATTTATACTCAGATATTCTCTAAATACACGTCCTTAGGGTTGATTTTCTCAGGTATCTAAAATAATTTAACATAGATGTTAAATATAAAAATCAGCTTTAGGAAAATTCATTATCTTGAAATAAATGTGTTTTAATCTTACAAAGTCAGGTTGTTAACGAATTATTTTACCTTAATCTATACTTTTATTTACGATAGA